TGGCTAGGCCGGTGAACATGGGCTGGCTCAGTTATCCCCGGGTGATGTGGGTGGTGAAGCTCCTGCAAACATGGCCATCCCTATGGCTGCTCCCACCCGGAGCCAGCTGGTGCCATGCTGGGGTGGCCTTACTCACTGCTACGATCAGATGTTTGCAAGGCAGTTGGCTGGGGGAGCTGGGAAGCGAACAAAGCCAGCATCAATTAAAGTGAGATTTGGTCAGGGGATTTCCCCCTTCTTTCAGTTCCCTCTAGCTGTGAAAGGGGCGGGGAGAGGAGGGACTGCCTATTGCGGGAGGAAAATACCACCTGGCTGAGGTTAATGAGCCCGCCTGACACAGCGGTGGCCATTCCTGGCCGGGGAGCCGGGCTGCTGGAATTACGTGTTATGCTGCATGTACATCCCTCAGCCGCGGGGCTCTGGCAACAGGCACCGGCTGGAATTAACCTGCAGTAACCCCGCAGCGCAGGGGCAGCCTTGGCAGGGCGTGCACAGCCAGGCTGTGCTGGAGTATGAAAGCCATTATAATCCGCTCATTCATGGCGTTTAAAGAGCCAGAGGTTTTTTTCCCTGGTTCTCCTGGAAGGGGGTAGCGTTCTTCATCCCCATGGGGCACTGTGTAGTTTACTGAGCCTGGCCCGCCATGTTATGAATTGAACAAGTTTTAAAGTAACATTTTTATTATGAACAAATAAAATTTCAGTTCAGCACAACCAGATGTCTGTTTCCATATTAGTAGAAATTATTTCAAAAAGGTTTGTTTTTTTCTTTTCCAGTACACAAAACAGAGATACTACTATGCAGAAACCCCTAAGCTGTGAAAAATCGTATCCTACTCACATTTCAACAGTGACAGAGCTTAGACAATGTGCAGATTCAACTCTCCAATCCTTCCCTGAACACCCAACACTTGGACATATGCTCTTCACGATACCAGCAGGGCTGGGAGAACAGTCTTGGAAAACAAGCCAGTCCGTGCTTCTGCCAGCAGCAGTGTGCGTGTGGTCCGGACGCCTCCCTCCTCTGCGCTCGGCCGGTGGGCAGCGAGGCAGGGCGTAACACCTGCTACAGATGGGGAAACTGAGGCACGGATAGTTTTTAAGTGACTTTGTCCCACGTCGCGCAGTGAGCAAGTAGCTAAGCCAGGAACAGGTCCCAGGAGAACAGCTGCTCTAGCTGTGAGGTCCCACTGCTGCTTTCTTGGTTTCCACCTCTCACAGAATCATTTAAGCTAAACATACAGACAACGTGTCCAGGATACACACATGCCACCAAAAATATATATATATATATTTATAGGTGTATATATATATCTCAAAAAAACCTTCTACTTAAAGTGTTGTATGTTTCTTAATCTAAAAAAAAAGTCTAACTCAAATACATTCAAATTCACCTTCACCCACAGTTCAATGTAGGCAATTAAATAATTAAGAAACCCCTCAAATGTTTGTAATTCAGAAAAAAAAATAAAACAAATATGGCAAATAGCTGTCAATACTTCTATGTATATTAAAGAAAGACTTAAGGCACCCAGAGATATTTGCCAATCTACCTTTAAAGTGACTGGACAAACACCAGCACTGTTTGGTTACTGGTCCTTAGCTTCCACCCTAATTCCAGATTTGGGACCCAAATCAGCTCTTGAAATTTGAAAGAAACCCTTGATGTCAAACTCTTCTTCTCTGCCAAGAGGATGTGAGATACTGCAGCATGTCACAGCATGCTTCCTTACCTTAGGGCATGTCACACAACACTAAGGGCACCAGGAGCAAGGAAATCGTTCTCCACACCTGCTCCTCTCCCTACCCTACACCCCTTTCAAATTACTGGCTGGAGCAAAGTCATTCTCTCTGGAGACTTCTACGAGTTCTGAGAGGTTTAGAGCAAAATCAGACTGCAATTACAGAGCTAACAGGGTTTCTCTTTTGTTTGGATGGCTTTTTATGTTTTTTTAAATGGCAAGATACAATTCTAGCCATAAGAGCCTTACCTCCAGCCAGCCCCATGGCAGTCATGACCCTTGGAGGGGTAAGGATGCTGTCTCCTGATACTGGAACCTCTGCGCTCGGCCGGTGGGCAGCGAGGCAGGGCGTAACACCTGCTACAGATGGGGAAACTGAGGCACGGATAGTTTTTAAGTGACTTTGTCCCACGTCCCGCAGTGAGCAAGTAGCTAAGCCAGGAACAGGTCCCAGGAGAACAGCTGCTCTAGCTGTGAGGTCCCACTGCTGCTTTCTTGGTTTCCACCTCTCACAGAATCATTTAAGCTAAACATACAGACAACGTGTCCAGGATACACACATGCCACCAAAAATATATATATATATTTATAGGTGTATATATATATCTCAAAAAAACCTTCTACTTAAAGTGTTGTATGTTTCTTAATCTAAAAAAAAAAGTCTAACTCAAATACATTCAAATTCACCTTCACCCACAGTTCAATGTAGGCAATTAAATAATTAAGAAACCCCTCAAATGTTTGTAATTCAGAAAAAAAAATAAAACAAATATGGCAAATAGCTGTCAATACTTCTATGTATATTAAAGAAAGACTTAAGGCACCCAGAGATATTTGCCAATCTACCTTTAAAGTGACTGGACAAACACCAGCACTGTTTGGTTACTGGTCCTTAGCTTCCACCCTAATTCCAGATTTGGGACCCAAATCAGCTCTTGAAATTTGAAAGAAACCCTTGATGTCAAACTCTTCTTCTCTGCCAAGAGGATGTGAGATACTGCAGCATGTCACAGCATGCTTCCTTACCTTAGGGCATGTCACACAACACTAAGGGCACCAGGAGCAAGGAAATCGTTCTCCACACCTGCTCCTCTCCCTACCCTACACCCCTTTCAAATTACTGGCTGGAGCAAAGTCATTCTCTCTGGAGACTTCTACGAGTTCTGAGAGGTTTAGAGCAAAATCAGACTGCAATTACAGAGCTAACAGGGTTTCTCTTTTGTTTGGATGGCTTTTTATGTTTTTTTAAATGGCAAGATACAATTCTAGCCATAAGAGCCTTACCTCCAGCCAGCCCCATGGCAGTCATGACCCTTGGAGGGGTAAGGATGCTGTCTCCTGATACTGGAAGCTGAAGGGCTCCCTATTCTATTCCTCCCTGTTGTACATCTCAGCTGGAGACCACTTCACTCCTGATGGCTCAAAACCTTGAAGGGTCCTGCCATAAAGAAGGCCATGGTGGTGGCAGGGAGGAGGACTTCTTTTCTGATTAACAAGAGTGCTCTTGTTAAGAAGAACATCACAGAGCTATGATGACTCCTGGAGTTTCACAGCAGCAGGAAAAAGCAAAGCTGCAGAGACTCGCTCCTGTGAAGCTTGCCTGGCTGCTGCCTGGCACAGCTGAGGTGAGGAAGTTGGCATCTGCTCTGTCTGTGCCCTCCTTGGCCTGCCTGAATACAGGAGACACTGCAAACCCCACTCCAACATCACTTTGTTCCAGCCAACTCTCGTGCTTTCCTCCAGCTCCATTTGATGAATTTAAGCAACAAAACCAATACTATTGCTACAACTAATAGTAATAATAAAAATTAATAATAATGGGGAGAGTTAAGGGAAGAAAAGCACGTTCAGCCCAGTGAGGGACTTGAGGCCATGATGTGATGCCTTGAACCTAACCCATTGCCTGAACTCAAGCTGCAGTCTCTGGGACTTGCAGGAAACAACACCCACAAGGGCCTTTTTCCCCAGCACAACCTCCAGCTGCATGCCCACATCAGCTTGGTGATATAACTGACCTTTCCACAGGCTCAGCTGCCCTCACTACCTGCCTTGCCAGAGAAGGAGCGAGGCAGCGAGATGTCTCGCCGAGAGGGCCGGGAGGCCAGCTAAGGGACTGATGAGGAACAGCTTTTGCCTGCCCTTCCCACTCCCCCAGAAGGGCAGGGAATGGCAAACCACCCTGGTGGACTCTGGTCAGGAAAGCCCAGAGGTGGCCCACCGTGGCAGCAGTGTCTCACCTCGGAGGTCTCGGGTCCCTGGAGCCCTCTGTGCCACCTGGCCCCACGTTGGTGTTTCTCAGGCACTTGATAATCGATCCAGCAGAGCCTCCGAGGATGGGGAGACCTGCTCCCATAGACACCCTCACCCCTCCCTACACCTGCAGGCGCTCTCTTGCCCCATCTGTGCGCTCAGTACAGGATGCAGATCAGAACATCTGCCTGCCACCCAGCTGAGACCCTCTTCATCCAGGATATAAAGCAGCTTAACTCAGCAGTGGAGCTTTGGTTTACATCCTTCTGTCCCTTTCCATTTTGGCGGAGTCCTGTTTGCTGGCAAAAATCTCAGTGGTGGTGGTGATCAAAACCACCCCAGGCTGGTGCTGCTCCACAGCAGCCAGTGGCACACCCCTTCCATCTGTACCCCCCCTTGCTGTGACTCTCCAAAGGGGCTGTGGAGGGTGGAGCCAGGCTCTGCCTTCTGTCCCTGGTGGCATGGGGCACAGTGGGCAGTGCAGGGAGGGAGGCTATGACGCCAGAGGGAGAAGGTAATAAGGCCACCAAGACTCCCCCTCCAGTGCCCACTGTGGCCACCAGGCCCCCTCTAGCCACTGGTGGATCTGGCTGAAGCTCTGAGAGAGCTTGGAAGCTCTCCCCTCCCCAGCCAGAGAGGTTGTGCAGTGGAGAGTGGGGAAGAACACTTCCCAAGAGACATCTTGGAAAGAGACAACTCTCTTTCCAATGGCAAGGGAAGAGGACAGGGATACTTTTCCCAAGGAGAGCAGTTTAGCCATGCCATGTCTGTCAGCAGCTCTTGAGAAAGGAGGAGGGACAGAGGAAAGAATTTTGGGAGGAAGGTAGTGGGGACAGGGTCACTGACTTTGGCTCAACTCTTCAGCTGGCTGGTACAGGCTACCCTTAACTCCGTGGTACATAGCCAGCTGTGATGGGCCTCCCTGGGCTGCTTCATCCCAGCTCCTCTGCCAGGGAGTGACGACATAAAGCGGGAGAAGGGATAGAGGGGCTGGAGAGAAAGAACGGAAAGGAGAAGGAGAGGAGGGAAAGGGGTGGCCTTGCATTATAAAGGCGGAATCCTAGATCTTAAATACATCACGTAAAATACAGTGTGGGAGGGGGAGTTAAAACTCATTATCTTAAGCAAATTGGTAGCATTATTCAGTAGTTAGTAAACAGAACATTAAACCTTTGTCCAGCGTGTTTGGAGGGGTCAGGAAAGGAGAAAGGGAGAAAAAAGTAGGAAGGTGTGGATGTGTGTGTATAGGGGAGTAGGAACTCAGCCAGTCTTGTGACTCCCATCTCCAGTCCGCATTTTCCGAGCCAGGATGACCTCCTTGGAGACCTTCTTGCGATCACTGGCCAGTCCCAGGAAGCACATGAGGTCAATGAAGGCTGTGGTTAAGTTGAAGCGCCAGCCAAACTCACTGGTGGAGTAGTCATAGGGGAAGGTGTGGTGGTAGTTGTGGAAGCCTTCTCCTGCAAAACATGACCAGGGAGAGGATTTTGCAGAGTTCTAGGGGATGAGCCCTTAATCCTGGACCAAAGAACCACATTCTTGAAAAAGGCTCTGAATTGAGTCCAGGCTCCTCTCTCCTCTCAGCCTAATTTCATCTCTCTACAATCCCTTCTTATTTGTGCATGGTCTGACATGCCTGGCCTGGCCTAAATGAGGCAGTGACTGTCACAGAGAACCAATGGTGCTTCAGAGGAAACAAGTGCATGGCAAGCAACTGAGAAAGTCCCTGGCTGATCAACTGCACCAAAATAACAAGGCAATCGTAAGGGTTCTTCCTCAGCTACCAGAAGAAACTACCCAGTATGGGTTGAGTTACCAGCTAGACCTGGAACATGTCCCATACAAGCCAGGCCAATTGATATTCTCAATACTCCTAACACACTGGCAGTCTTTATGCCAAATCTAAAGGGCATTTCCAGATGGGAATACTGTAGACAGACTTGTACTAAGCAATCCACCCCAGTCATCCACCCTCTGCTCTGGACACTGTCAAGCCTGGCTTCAGTTTTCACCCCTTCAATGACATTACTTGGGCTCTTGTTCCTACCCTGTGAGTCTCTGCAGTTCAAATCCCATCCTATGAAAAAAACAGGAGCAGATCTTTCAGTGTTGAAAATCAGTGCAGGCCCAGTGACGTAGAATGTTGCAAACCAGTGGAGGGTTTGGGCTTAGGAGAACAGACCAGACCAAATGCTGACCCTGGGATGTACTTTCCTAGGTCCTCGACATTTCAGAAAAACACGAGATGATCTGGCTTGTGTCATCCTCAAGTACCCCAAAAATCACCAGCTTCCCTGAGAACATGTCCAAATGTGCCTGTGCTGCTTTTCAAGCTCACAAATCTTAGATAGATAAGCAGACTGCAGCTCACCTTATTCAGTCTAGTGAACAGGGCAAACAGACCTTTGAGCAGGGCAAATTTGCTATTGCTATTGAGATAAGGAGGTGCTAAGTGTAGCAGAGTCCTCTCCAGACTGGAGAAAAGCTAGTGGGAGCTGATAACCCCACTGCCCTTATGTACTCACTGGCCAGCCTGGGAAACACCTCCAGATGCAAAGCCTGGAGGGAAACTAGAAGCAGCTGCAGCAGCAAGGGACAGTTCCCACTCTACAGTGTACCCACAGCAAAAGACACGGATGCTAAACATACCTAGAGCCCCCAGGCTGACCAGGGGGTTCTCCCGTGGGTTGATGTTCTGATCATATGGCCGGTTGCCAAACATGTGAGCAGCGCTGTTCACTAGCCAAGTGGCATTGAGCCCTATGGTGTAGCGTAGGATGGCTGGAATGAAGAAGCTGATGATGACGGATTCATCCCAGAAGTACCAGGGCACTACAGTGGGCAGCGTGAAGCACAGCAACACCACCGAGGGCTTGTAGTATCTGGAAATAAAGGGATGAGGTGGAAAGCGCTCAGTGGCAGAGGAAGGACAGAAAGGGCTAGCTCAGTCCTCCCTTTGGAGGATTCATGCTCAGCTATAGAAGGAACATCCAGTGCAGAAATACCTCAGCCCTGAGCTTGGCATCTTTTGCCCTAGATGTGCAAAGCCACCCCTAGAGACTTCCAAGTCACCAGGAAGGAGACTCAAACTGAAGTCCTGCTCTCCCTATCTCAATCTCACACGTGCACAAAGCAATATCCCACAGCACACTTCTCACATGATGTTCTCAATCCCCTCACACTCTATCAAAGGTGCTTGGGGTCCCCAGCCCATTTGCAGGGTCCCTGCTCCACCTCACATGGCTTTGCACTGGGGCTGATCCCACCACTCACCTCCGCTGGAACATCACCACTTTGTCAGCCTTTATGTCACTCAGGTCCAGCTTCTGCCCCTTCTCGATGACGTCCGGGTGCTTGCGCACCAGCAGCCACCCGATGTGGGAGAAGAAGAAGCCCCGCATGGCGTTGTGAGGGTCTGCATCTGTCTCAGAGAACTTGTGGTGCACGCGGTGGTCCCGCACCCACTCATAGATGTCATTCTGCAAAGCAACAGGAGCAGAGACTTAAGGCCGGGACTGGAGACGTTAATTTTCAAATTAACAAAAGGCCTAAACCATTTAGACACCTAAATCCCACTGACCTGAACTCTTATCAGTCATTTTCTCTTTCTTTGGTTTTTGGCTTTTAAAACAGAGGTTGGATCTTTGCACAACCACTTCAATTTTGTTTCAAATCTACTTTGTTGATGGTCTGCCTTTACTCTTTTCAGTTTTAGTTGGTTAACTTTAGGGTTTGGTTTGCACATCCTCTACAGCATCACAGGCTCTGATTGGTCCATCTGTTCCCCCACCCCTGCAATAGCCAGTGCCTCCTACCTCACAAGCTCAGCTCTTGTTGGTCACTTGTCCCTGTCCCTACACTGTGCCAGCTAAGATTGATCAACCTGCCCCTTCCCTCCACCCTGACATTTTCCATGGGTCAACCTGCCTTGCATTTCCTGGGATTGCAAAATCAGATTTGTTTAACTTGGGGACGATTTTTTAAACTTCATTTTTTTTCCCTTGGAAATTAAATGGTCTTAAAATGAAGGTCCCTCTTTAGAAATAAACACACCTTTTAAATGATAATTATAAAAAATACTTCCCTTCAGTCCCATAACTGTTCTGTTTAAGCTGCAAAATCAACAGTTTTGAAAATGTCAAAGCTTTCATCATTTGTATTAGGAAATGCTTCTTTTGGCTAGTTTTAAGAATAGATTTTTAATGAGCTTGTACTCATTCCCATTTTGATATGCTTAAAACCACATATTACACCAGCCTGGAAAACATGCAGCAGAGATCCAAACACACCTCTATTTGCCTGTATTACACAAGAGGCTCTGTAATCTCCTAAGTACATAGGACTTTTCCTCAAAAGACTTTGAAGTTAGGGAAGCAGCATATAATCATCCCTATTTCTTGTCTGGAAAGACCAAAGTCAGAATCTTGACTGAATCTTTAGCATGTATCTTTTCAACAGGTATCATTTTGGGACCACCTCTAAACTGCAACCTTTTCTGAAAATTACGGCTTTCTGAGACTGGAAGGCAAAGCCCAGGAGAATGCCTCCTTTCTTGGGAATTTCCACCTGCAGGCTATAACCAGGAGAGCTTCTGTTGTGCTGCAGCTGCCTGGTCTCACAGGTAGAGGAGCTGATGAGGGGCAGAATTCCTGAATTCTCTGAAATCACAAGCCACATGTCTCTAAGCAACCAACAGGCATTTTCTGGAGGATCTCAGATAAGATAACCTATAGTTTCCTCTGGCCTCAAAAGTTACCAGTCTGATCTTAGAGCTGCTGCCACTAACAGCAATGAGGTAAATAGAAAATAAACCTTCTCTTGATCTCTTTGAATGTAACTATTAAAATAAAAATCAATGAGGAACAGTATTGAATTTTCAGTAAAACTTTGGATTAGTTCCTACTGAAGCTGAAATATTTGTCTTTCTCTCATTTTTGTCTATTCCTATCCCCAACAGCAATAGTTCAGCAAATTATTCCACCTTTGCCCTATAACCCTGTTAAAGATGGTCTTTGTGTGGGACTAGCCAATACACAGCAGCCCATCCCATTCTCTTGCTGAGCGCTGGACCAGTAGCTAGAATCAGGAACTTGATTCTTCCTCGTGCAAGACTCTGGTTTGGTACCAATGGAGAATAGGAAAGTGAACTGTGTTTTAGAAAGTCTGAAAAAAAATCCCCACCCTGTTTTGATTACCTGTCAATGAAGTGATATCCTCTGTGGCTTCACAGGAGGGAGAGGGAGATGATGTCTCTAAAATACTTTGTCCGTGTGGGCTTTATCTGTCCCCCATACCTCAGCTGTAGAATTACTTAGGGGCACTGCAGTGATACTACCCTCTTTACCTTCCTCTAGTGGAAAAGGCTGCACCATGTCATCCTACCAACTACTTCCTACAGACGGACAAGCCTGCATGAAGTCCCTTCAAGTACAGTTGGAGAATGGAGTGCTGTCAGAGCTGCCTCATACCAGCAACTCCAAGAGACCACCAGGATTTTTCTGTGCCACGACAGGGTTTTCACTCTAACGTTATTCTTCTGAAGGGCCATCTCGGCTACTTTCTACAATCCCTAAGGACTTCCCAGTTTGTTTGCTTCATGGACTATGAAGAGGTTAGTGGTTAGGTCTTTAGGTACTTGTCAGCTACCTGCAGTCACTTGTGCCACTCGAAAGGGCCCAACCCTTCTCTCCTTGAAATATCACTGATCCACGATGACTCTTTGGGAGTCAGTGGTGTGACTTAAAACAGCATTATTCCTAAATATCACTCTTCTGAACCAGAGAATGATCAACAAGATATTGGTCTTTCTGCAGCAACAATTTCACAGCCAGGCTTCCTGGGCTCTTCAGATGTCTCCCCCCTTACAGCCAAGCAGCAAGAGCATGAGGTGAGGCAATCTGAACATCAGGAGGGCGCTCAGCACTTCCACACCTCTTTCACAGGACCTGGAGCAAGCATAGGAGACCACACCTCCTGGGAAGGGTGCATTCTTGCTTTGGAGAGTTTTCCTACCCTCGGTGTTGGCCAATAGTTCTCTCCCCACCCAGTTTGTCTCAGAGTAACCCTCTGATGAGACAAGGTGCAAACAATGAGATGGACTCTGGCACTGGGGTGTTAGATGGAAAGGGCAGGTTGTTTCTGAACAAAAGGCAGTAGGAGAGAGGAACCTCTCCATCAGCTTCTGCCCCATTTCTGAGCCAAAGATTCAGGGGAGCACTTCCTTCTGAGGACCAGTGGCATACTGAGGAGGTGCTTACCTGGAAGGCCATGGAGTTTGCAATAGTCAGGAAGATCCTCAGGGGCAGTGTAGCTTTGTAGGATCGATGGCTCCAGAGGCGGTGAGATCCTGCTGTTATTCCCAGAGCACTCACCAGGAAACACAGAACAGCTGGAGAGGAAAAGAAAGTGCTGGAGCAGTTAGAGAAAGTCAGCTTGCAGCAAAGTTTCGGGCAGAGCAACACAAAGGCAGGCCTTTCCCCAAACTGTATAATCAAGAGAGGAATTAATGGAGAGCACAGCCTGGGGCAATTCAAATCATTGTGAGTGCTCGAGCTACCACAGGCTTCTTCAGTAACGTAGGGCAAACCATTTCAGCTCTTTGTATCTCACAAGGGAGGAGACTCCTCCTTACAAGCCTTGTCACAAGAGTTGCTTCTTCAGCATAGTGCCACCTGTTATGGTGCAGGATTGCCAAGACCGTAAAGTGACTGCTTCTGTATAGTCCTGAGGTAACAGCTCTGGAGTCCATCAGGGAATAGCTTCCCACTTTCCTCCCACCTTGAATAATCAAGAGTCTTGCTTTCCGATCTCTTTTGCATTCCTGTCACCTAGAAGTAGTAAATCTTGTTTTAGGTTTTACAGTTCTTCAGGGGACAGCATAATCCAAGGCTTAGGCTTCTTTTCTGCTCCCTTTCTGATAAGAGGCTGGCTAGAAAAAAATTAACCTACCATCCCACTGAAGCCTGGGCTTCAACTTCAGCTCTGCCACTGACTTAAAATCTGTCCAGAGACTGCTGTTTGCAGGATCTTTTTGATCCCCTCCCCTGGTCAGCTCTTGCACCATCTACAGAATAAAACTCAAAGGCAAACAACTCATTGCAAGTCATGCCCATTGCAGAGGCAGACATTGCTGGTCCCAGTTAAGATTAGAGGCTGCTCAATGCACTCCCTTTCCATGCAGGTCAGAAGAAATTCCTCACACCTCTGGCAGCTTGTAAAAAACCATATCCCTCTCCCTTTGGATTATGTGTTTATATCAGCCCTGCTCTGTGTGTTCCCACATGTCCTGGGACTTCTGAATTTTAACCTGGGTTCCAGTGTCTGGTCCTACAACTAAAAATGGAGAAAAGACCCCATCAGGATCATAGCAGCTTTACACTGGGAAGCTGGGGATAGGAAGAAAATTAGATCTGAAAGTAAGTCTTTCTCTAGGAAGCATGGGTCAGAAGTTTGGCAGAAAGACAGAGGGCATTCAACAGTTGGTTTGCCCAGCAAGCTCAGACACCAAGAGGGAAGGGTGCACATCCAGGCACGGGTCAATTGATCTGCCTTCAGTCCCCTGGAGGAGGCAGCACCTTCTTCCCAGCTCCCCAGAGGAAACTCTCTCTTTGGTATAAATTTGCAGATTTCAATCCATTGGATCAATCATGAAAACAGCTCCTTATTCTTACACATAAACTCGTGGCTAGGAATCACTGGTATGCTTGACAATACCATTCAGTCCAGCCAAAAGGCTGTAAGCAAGCTTATCTTGAACCCAGAAAATAGATACTCTGCCAGAAACTTGTCTGGAATCAGAGATCTGAGACAAGTGCAAGGCGCTCTTGCCCTATTCTTTCATTCAAAATAATCCAGGCTTTATTTCCTATCAGCTCCTGCTCCTTCTTCCTTCTGTCACCTCCTTTTTGTTTTTCTACATTCCAAAGCTAATCTCTTATCTGCTAAAAGCCAGTCTCAGCTGATTTAACATCCTCTTCTGGCCCCTTAGACTTGCATGAACCCTCCTCACTCCCATCCCACTGTATCATAGCAACCTTCCGGGTCTGCTCATCTGACCGTGACTTCCCATCTTCATCCCTTGGCTTCCCCACCTGCTGCAGAATGCACTGCAAGCCTTGGACCAGCACACCTCTGCCTCGTGTCTCCTAGCACCCTGGTGGTCTCTTAGAGGATCCAAGCAGTCACTGGTCATAGCTGATTTACAGGGTGTGAAGAGGGATGAAACCACATGCAAATGCAGCAGGATCCAGCCCTTGCAAGAAACAATGGAGCTGAGCAAAGTTCAAAAAGCTGGTCAAACCTGGAAGGGGACAAGGGAGGGATGTGGAACAAGGCATTTGGTTAAGGTCTCCCTTTGGCCTTACTGACAGGAAAGTTCTCATGCTGGACTTTGAATGTCTCACCCAGCCCCACGATGCTGACTTGAAAGCTGTGAACGAGCTTATGACCAACTGGCCATTTGTTTTAGATTTTAAGACTAATTTTAAATCAGTCACTATGCCCACAGATTCATAAAGAAGAACAAACTTTGAAAAGCTCCTAGCACATGGCTCTGATTTGGAGAACCTCTCTGGCCTCAGACAATGCAATAACAACAAAACCTGCTTCTAGATGTTTCAGACACTTCCTACTGGTGGCAGATAATGACTCACCCCATTCTCCCTTGGACAGCAGCTGCTGTATCCTGCTCACCACATTTCATAAAACCTCTGGGCAATATTATACCTATGGTGCACACACCAGTAGCTGAGGTAGTTTTCCAAGGATGACAAGTAGTTTATGGCAGAGCTGAGAGCAGCATCCAGGAGCCTGGATTTAACCTCCAAGCTATACAGTCTTACGAAAAACACCAGACAGGGCATCTGTGGAAAGCAGCGTCAGCTTGCAATAGATGTAGGGGGCAAATTGCTGGGGAAAGAGCTCAGCTCTCCACTGTGGGACAAGCAGGCATGAATTAACGGTGCACTGGGCACATAAATGAACTTTGCAGTCTTTCAGAATGTAAAGTAAATGCCAGGTTAGGTGAATACAGGCCCTATTTATTGCTGTGAGTTCAGGCTTTCTCTCTAATGAATTCTCACATACTGAGTGGGAATTTGTTGGTAAAAGAGGCCCTCAGGAAGAAGACTCTGGCAGAGGACTCTGGTATTTATGCTTTGCAAGAAGGAAGTTCATCTGTATCTCTTTTATATAGGCAATTCTCAGAATTTGCCTGTGGATATACCCCTCAGGAAAAAATGACACCAGCAATGAAGACATATCAGCAAGCACAAGGAATCAAGAAAGAGATGTGATGGGACAGCAACAGACCCAGAAAACAGACAACCCAGTACTTGTTTTTGGGTAACCTTGACTGAAATCTCATGTTAAAAATTTGGAAGAGTACTGACAGCTTTCGGTGGGGTATAGAACAGACATAGTGTTTATCCAAAGCCTATGAACCTCAGCAGCTCCTGTTGACTTCTCTTGAAGCTGTGTTCCAGGTCACTGCTACTGACAAAACTCTCTAATTAAAATCCTATGCTGCCTCACCTCTTGCCCACATATGGCAGCCATAGTTTACCTAAGGGGCAGACCTTTTCTGAGGGAAAGGAGCTGATTCTCAGTATGTGCATACATGGCACCCAGCCCCACAGAAACCAAAACCCTACTTGGATGCTATTAGTTCTATCAGCCTTACTTACAAGTTGTTGTGACAGTGAGAGGATATGGATGATAAGATTGAAAAGCCTGGTAGAAAACAGAAGAATCCAGCACCCTAATGATTTAGAGGGTTCATCCCCACAAACAGGTACAATGATTATTGTTGCAAATCAGGGAATGAGCATCTCACAGGGAAGGAATAAGAAAATCCCCAAGGTCATCCACTAGGAATGAAATTGGAAAGACAATAGAGAAGGAGAAATAAAGCAGTACAGAATTTCACAGGTGCCTTGTGAAGCTGCCCCAAACTGAAGGACTTAGGGACTCTATTAGCTGAGGTTTCAAAGTAATCTTCCACACTATGCTTTGAAGTATCAAAGATTCAAAAGATTGACAACTCACAGGTCATGGTCCCAATTACCCATTCAACAGGAATACAAAAAATTATGACCACCAGCAGTATTATACACTCAGTGCTCCAAAAATTAAACCCAAAACATTCCAGATTCAGTCATGTCTATATGAGTCACTAACCTTTACCTCTTCAGAGCCCAGACTCAGACCTCAAGTTATAATGTCAAGCCAGGAATGTGCTAAAGCATTGAACCTGCAATCAACAGCAAGGATGTTTACATGAAGAGGTGCCCCTGATCCAGAAGGTATCCTCAAGCTTCTGCTCGGTGCAAGGGAAAGCTACAGCTTTAGACTATTCTCTCCTTGCCTCCCAGCCCTTGCTTGCCAGGTAGGTCGTGATTCTCCTTGGTCCAAAGCAGCATCAAGAAAAAATGGCATCAACTCACATTGCTGCCACTGCTATCACTGCGGGGAGCTGGTTTATTGTTAGAGCACCACATCGTGAGGAATCATCACTGTTTTATAGACATTGTTGGCCAGGCCACCAGGGGTTAACACAAATATTGTTGGTCTGCTGCACACAATGCCAGAAAGACAACCTGCAAATCGTGTTTCTAGGGAGGCTCAGAGCAGCTAAAGAAGGAACTGTCATAGAATCATAGAACTATTCAGGCTGGAAAAGACCCTTGGGATCACCGAGTCCAACGATCGTCCCTACTCTACAAAGTTCTCCCCAGTCAGTCATCACCTTTGCATTCAGACTCAATCTCTGTGCCGTTTGGCAAATGATGTGAAATCTGCCCATGATCCCTGAAAAGACTGTGCAAGACTGTGTCAAGTGCAGTGGAGAAGACAGTAAATAAAAGGGGAGCTGGCTAGAAAGCCATAGTGCTGGAAGGGTTTGGAGAGCTCTTGTTATGGTGAGCTCTCACCTGATCAACAATCCCAGCTCTTTCTGGGAAGCTCTGTACCAGAAAGAGATCAGGGGATACAATGCACATAGCAACGCAGAACAGCAAACAATGATGAAGGCAGGGCTGGAGAGCTTGAGAGACAAAGAGGAATTAGCACACAGAGAAATGAAAACAAAAGAGGACACAGTCACCAACATAACTGGTTTCAGAGGGACAGGAACATCAAGGAGATGGTGAGTGGGACGAAAAGGGTATAAGCAGGAGATTTCTCCTTACAGTAAAATATAGAAGTAGATTAGCTACCAGGCATCATAGCCACCTGTAGCATCACAGCAGAGAACATATGGGGCCATGTCAATTTTATATTATATGTACACAGCCTGAGGAAGGAATTATCTGAAAAACAAACAAAAAACCAAAAAAAACAACCCAGCAGCTCCAGAACTGTCACTGAGAGAGCTGCTCTGCTGTGAGCCCATGACAGTGCACTGCTGGGAGCAATGTCAGTCTCTGTTGCTCTATCATTGTTTGTAAAATGGGAACCATAGCCCTCTCCTTGCTACGAAGGGCTGCTTGGAAAAAACAGCAAACTTAACTGAGGGAGCAGTGACAGATGCCTTGTATGTGCTAAAGAAAAGTATGCACTGTGAAAAGGGCAATGCAAGAAGGACCAAGGGGACTTGCTGAGAAACAAGACCTGTGGAGAATCAAAGTATCCCAGCTCTGGTCAGAACTGGAGGAGAATGGACTATAGGGAAAAGCTCTGATTTGCCTGCAGGATGCAGGGAAGGGCGGTCCTTCCCCAGACGAAGTGCCAGGGATGCAGAAGATCTGCAGGGAGATCTGTGGAACTGCTCCAGCTGTCGTTAGACAGAATGGATCTTCAGCAAGTCCAAAACAGTGCAGTTCTCCCAAACCCCATGTACTTCTCCCATATTACTCCAGAAGCCACGAAGGAATCTTGTAGTGCCTCACAGTGGCAGGAGAGCAACTGGCATTTCACATCAGAGAAAACTGAGGGAGGGGAGCAGGGAGTACTGGCATCAGGTAAAAAGCAGGGCAGACTTGCACGAAATGCCATAAAGACATCCTAAACAGGCACATAGTTGCAAAGACACTGCTTCAGAGACCATTTTGGGGTAAGGTGGGCCTAGCAAAAAGCAAAGCAACATTGATCAAGATGCTCAAGCCCACTTAAGTATCTCAGGGAAGCTCAAGGGAAAAGAGTTAGATGAATTTAGAAATCATAGTGCATCACAGCAGCCTTGAAATGAAACCAGTAAACCCGACTGACCTCCTCTTTGCCTCAATGCCCTAAGGATAGTTGGCTGGGGTTGGAGGACCCAGGCTGTCAGCTCAATGAGTGAGAAAAGCCAGCAGCCCCTGCCAAGCCTTCAGCTGAGAGCCCGGGGAAGGGACACACAGAGCAGGACTGAGAGCACTGAAACACTTCCAAGGTCATGCTGAGGCTGCATGTTTGCCTCGCCCTTCCACCCCTGAGAAAAGTGCAGCCTGTCAGGTTTTCACAAGGGAAAGGCCCAGCAAAGCATTTTATAGCAGCCCCTTGAGAGGTTGTGCTGGCTGCACATGGAACACATCAGTGCCTCTGCTTTAGTGGATGCTGTAGCCGGCCTCTGATGAGTTGAGTCCTGTGACCTTCAGTGATGCTCATCTCCCAGGCTTCTACCTGTGAGAAGCTGAGGTGGTTCAGGAGGGAAGGAGTCAGCCTGGCTGTCCCGGAAGTCATTTCTTTCCCAGTCCAGCTGTGACACAAGTTGCTCATAGCCCTTGGGAGGGCACACTTTAAAAGTGTGACAGACCAGGTGGATCTCTCCAAAGCTGGGCTGGCCAGGACCCTGCTCCTGGATGAGCACTTTACAGAACCACCACTGAAATCAAATGCTATGTCAGCAAGTCTCAAAATTAGACTGTCGATTTTTGTTTCAGGATGCTGTTTCACAGGAAGGCAGGGGCTGGATGCAATCTCTTGACCTCCCTACAGGGAACCATTTGATTTCTTGTCTCCTGCAGAGGTCCACATAAAGGCTCATGGAAAGCCAGGCTCCCCTGCAGCTTGGGCTCCCTTTCAAGCCGTCAAAGGAGAAGTTTCCTTCCAGCCCAGAAAGAGGAGCTTTGCCTGGCTACCTTCTGCTGGGTTGTGCTTTCCGTTGGAATTTGCTGCCTGGAGAGATGCTTATTTAGTTTTTGAAAGCTGTCAGGCTTAGTTCCGGGATGACAGGAGCTAAACTGTGCTTTTGCAAGAATGATAAAAGACCTGAGCTTCAGACTTAAGTCTTGACTTTTATCTTCAACACAACTGTATTTTGTCTCTTTCCCCTCACACACACGTGGAGACTCTGTAGGATTTATTCTCCTTTAGTAGGGACCAGTTCTTGTCCTTGGGCAGCAGCCTCATACCAAATAATGCCCTGTACCAGTCACCCCTTAAAATGCTCTTGCCAGCACCCTTCTTTCAGACTTTCTAGGACCATCACATTACTCATCAAATATTTTCTGTGCTCTACAGCAGAAGTGGCTGCCCATTCCAGTGTGGGCTACTTCCATTCCTAATGCCTGTGAATTAAGTTGCTCTTTAAGCAGCCAAGAAGTCCCCTGCGAAATCCTTCCCTCTCATGCTTGACCTTACAAGAGACACTATCAAGCCCTCCCACAGCTTGCTGTGAAGCTGGCTGAGTAGCTTCTTCTAACAGAAGACCTTTACTTCCTTCTTTCTCCTCCCCAAGTCTGTGGGCCTGGAAGGAAAAAACAAATACTACCCAACAAACGGGGTTGCAGATGCCAAGAACAAATGAAGGAATGTGCTTACCCCATGCCAATGTCTGGATCTTTGCAGAAGGTATCAGCATCAACCCAAATATGGCTCCCAGATGCAGCAGGCTCATGAGGATGATATTCCTCCAGACGTATCGCATGGGGGGCTTAGGGCCCTCCTTCTCCCGGTAGGTCTCATCAAAGATATCGTCTATCATGCCCCGGTCTCCTGCCAACTCCTCATGATTGAATGAGTCCTTCTTCATGACAGCATCCCCGTTCTTGGTCACCCGGGAGGTGACGGTGCCGACAGTGGTGGTGCTGGAAGTGGAGGAGAACTCCTTGGAGAGGCGGCAATGGACATTTTCAATAAAAGAAAAAGGGAAAACAAAACAATAAGTTAGTGGTTACCAATGCAGGGAATTGAAACACAAACAGCTTGGCTGACAGGACCAAGAAGGGCAGCCTGCAGTTTTCCTGGGAGGCTCCATTCTCTCAGCTGAGCCCTTGGCAACAAGAAGAGCCCCCTGTAGCCCCATGGAATCATGGCTTGAGGGGGAGGGGGCCTGATCTTTCTGGGAAGCAGGGACAAAAAGTGGACAGGATGCAGAAATTACAGTAAAATACTTAAAAGTCAGTCTTTTTTTCCACCAGTGGCTTTGATAAGATCATTTGCAGGCTGCAAGGATTTTCATTTTCCTTGTTTTATTAGTAGGCGTTTTTAGGTAGGCTTATGGCCTGGACTTGTGGACTATGCATAAGCAGACAACAATAAAGAAAATATTTTGAATGGACAGAGGTAGAAGAGAAATACAAACTGACACACACTTTTATTGTAAAACACCAGGCTGTGCTTGATATCCTGCTTCTTTTTGTCACCCCACTAGGGATCATGGGAGAAGTATCAGGAAGATCCACCTTGGGATTCTGCTGGGATGCCTCCTTACATCCCACTGCCTCACTTTCCAGGCTGGGATGCAGCAAGACCAACAGACTTGGAGATCAGCAGACAGAAGCAGTCGAGCGATGTGCTTCCAATTAGACATCCTATCCCATGGCTGCTGCCAAGCCTCTTATCCCTCTCCCGCTTTCCACCCACGGGCAAACTGAGGCACAGGAAGACAATCCTCTGAGCCAAGGCCACCGGCATGCAGAGAGGAAGTTTGAAGCAGCAAGTTGGCTCAGCCTTGCTCACGGCTCCCTCCTGTAATCATGACACAACATTCCCTCTGCACACGTTTGTTTGCCCTGGCTGAGTGACAGCTGGCCTGACCAGGCATGCAGAACGAAAGGAGCAGGCAGGACTGACCCTAATGAGACAGGTCACTGAACCCTCAATCAATGACTTCCATCTCCATCATGACAGCTGCGTGCTGGCTGGTGCTCGCAGCCCTTTGTCAGGCTTGAGCCCATGTGCCCAACTGGGCTTGACCCTGGAGGTGTCAAGCACGTGGGACTGGAGAGGTGGGAGGACACACCACCCACATCCCCTCACCCCCTGGGAACCTGCCCAAAGGACACGTCCCTCTGATGCTCACCTCGATGCCTCCATATGTGAAGGGGCCCTAAAGGTCAGCTGAAAGGAGCAGAGGAGCCATGGGAGGGAGTGTTGCCAAGCTGGGAAAGCTCCTTTCCCAATAGAAATCTCCCCTGAATTAACAGCAGATTCCCACCCAGACAATGCGAAGTCATAAAAGACCACCGTCCTGCCATGGCCTAGTTTCTGGAGGGAGGCATTAAAATCAGGCCAGGCAGCTTACGTGGCCACACCAACTCCTCCCTTTCCCAGGGGTAGAAACTAGAGGGTTACAGACATACCTTCCTACAGGGAGGAGCTGGCAAAACTGACAGAGTCCCCATATTTGGGAAGTAAAGTGATCTGTACAGAGGTAGCCTTCTCAGTTTTTCCTTCTGCAATCAAAGGTTAGGACATGAAGTATCCTGGTGCTTTCACTGAACCCAGGCAGCTGCTGAGCTTGGGACCAGCTCCTCTGCATCCTGGCTATAGGCTGTCTATAACTGCTTTCTGGGCTGTTGGAGAATTGTAAGGCAATGCCTCCAACAAAAGAGCTGTGAAAAATGTTTTCTAACCCAGAGATCAGGCAAGGAAAAGTCCTGCCCATTCCAAAGTGTCAAATAGTATCATCTGGCATTTTGGCAGGAAGGCACAATTTTCTTCCTTGGCTGGATGACAGTCTATCAAAAAGACCTAAGACTTGTCTATGCAGGAAAAACTCCCAACAGAGATCTGATGGTATGATTAGATGGCTAATGCTCCCCATATGGACATGCTGCTTCCAGAATAAGAATGGGGGGTTGGAATTGCATTTTTTTTTTTTCCCCTGTGATAGCTTATGTCACTGTTGAAGTTGCACTGGGGCAGAGGAGGAAGAGGAGGGAGCGCACGCAGGAAAGAGCAGAGAGGAAAAAAAACCTTCTTCCTCCAGTCACAGTAGCCACATGAGAAATGTTACCAGCATCCCTATGCTGCTGGAATGATACTGAATCAAACTGGTCATTTCTCACATGCACATTAAAACAAAAGGGCTATAAAGTAGCTGTGAAACACAGCTCCACCGTTACAGAGTTGGTGGGGGGAGCATGGGGGAAAGAGGGAGGGAGAGTAGTCACCTATTAAGCTGGAGACAGAGGAAATGAGGAGGAAAGAGGATTTTTTACTCCCTTCTGGCAGCAGTGGCTCCTGCAGCCACTGAGGAAAATGGGGTGGGGATTCATCTAGGGTTTAGAGGTGAGAGGGGGAAGAAGCCAACTAAATCCTTTTCATGAGCTCCCCCTCATTTCTGAATGACGTTGCAGCTCTCATCTGCAGAACAGATGTGTTCCCCCATCTCCAGCCCCCCTCCCACCCTACCAGCATTGAACATGCCATAGGTGATCGTGGCAGCCAGCCAGCTTATACAACCAGCTGCAGCTCAAAGGCTCCTGCTCTGGGTTCAGCCGAGGGGCCCCAGGGCACTCAGTCTCAGGCCCAGTAGATCTGAATATGCTCGATGTGACCCAGGGACAGGGTTCCTTCCAGCCTCCAGGATATGCCCCAAAACACATGCCAGAACCATGAAATGTGGTCTGAGCATCCATTTGGGGTGAAAAAAGGGCCCAAGTTAGTTACATCACAGCATTCCTGGAGGGTCACAGCACCTGCACAAAAGCACCAGGGGAGACCCTTCGTGCTGGCAACAGGCAAGGGAGCAGGGCTGAGGTTTACAAACCGCCAGTCCTCAGCATAGGCAGAAAGGGGAAGGATGAGGTGAGAGCAGGAACATCAGAATCAAACCCCTGCCTCCCCTTGGGCAAAGGGTGGCTGCCAGGAGAAGCAGAAATAAACGATCTAAAGATCCAACAACTCTATGTATCTTCCTGGTGCCAGATTGTTACCCAAGAAAGACCTTCCTATGCCAAAACCGGGCAGGCTCCCCATTGTGTTTGCTTGGCTCAGCCCATGCAGAGAGTCATTCATTTCATCTCGGCAGTTGCTGCTTTCACCTTGCGTCTGCCCTAGAGACGCTCCCTGCTGCAACATCCGCCCGAAAAATGCTGCGACTGAAAGCCCCTTCTATTAAAAACACGAACAATAAAACACGCCCCCTCATAAAAACCCCAGACAACCCCCACCCAAAACAAATCAAAAAGCCAAACCAAAACAACAACAAAGTAATCAATCTCAGTGTTGCCGAAGTCCCTGCCACCTCTTGGCACAAAAGACGTTCCTGAACAGCCCTTTATCAACAGGCTCAGGCAGATGTTTTTAAAATAAACCTGTATTTTCTGCTCGCTCTGTTCAAGGGCACAGGCTCCGGGGAGATAACCCAGCGAAGGACACCCCCTCTTTCCACGGTCTCACCACGAGGCCTGAGCGATGTCTTCAGGCAGCACCGAATGACTTCTCATGACTGAGAAGCGGCACGAGAGAGGACACGCGCAAAACACACGCGTGTGCACCCGTGTGTGTCCGTGTGGACACGCGTGGATGCCCAGACCTTCTTCCCCAGGGCAGCAGCAGCAGCAGCAGCAGCAGCGGGGCCGGAGCCGCGGACAGGAAAAGAGGCGGAAGGGGCGAGGGGCAGACCAAGCCCCCGCAGCCCCCGGCAGCCCCGCTCACCTCCTCGTGCAGCAAGTGCGCAGGCATCGGGCAGCGCGGGCTCCGCTCCTCGCAGCGCTGCGCGGATCGCAGGTCCCGGGGGCGGCAGGAGGCT